CCTTATGGTAAGATAGGTATATGTAAAATGCCGGTACGTTTAGTGTTAATAAAAAAATTTAATATTTAAATTTTAGGATTGCCGAGTCTGTCGGACGTTTAAATTAATTTAATTCTTGAATTTTTCATTTCAACGGCTCACCTCGGCGCCAAGGCCGAATCTGTATCCATCGGAAAATCGGGTACTGGCATTATGGAAAACACAGGCGCTGTCGACTTCCCTCTGGAAGTGCGCGGCACTATGGTTATTCTCGGTAACGATAGTATCCGTATGTCCACTGCCGTATTTGTGAATATGATTTATCGCGTCGTCGACGTCTGACACGACCTCAATCGCGCATTCCAGCGCTCCGTACTCGGTTTTCATGCTTTTGGCGGCCGGTGGCCCGAACGTCAGTTGCTTCCTCAGGTTCGGCCCGGAATATACTTTTACCTAGAATGTTAAGCGCTTAGTTACGTGCAATAATAACCATTCCTTTGTTCCGAAATCACGTTCAAAATCCCCTTACTCCTTCCTTTTGCAGCATGTTGCACACATCCGTGAAGAAGCTGCCCTTCATGTGACTTTTGTGAATAAGCAGCGTCTCCATAGCGTTACAAGCGGCAGGATAATCACATTTCGAGTCTCTGACGATCTTCAAAGCTTTGATCAGATCCGCATCCTTGTCCACATACACGTGACAAATACCCTCCGCGTGTCCTAACACAGGAATATGCTTCGATTGCTCCTGGATATTACGGACAAGGTCGGAGCTGCCTCGAGGAATCACCAAGTCTATGTGTTTGCCCATCGACAGCAGATCACCGACGTCTTCTCTGGTCGAGATAAGGGATATCGCGTTTGCAGCTCCTACGGTGTTCAATGCCTCTTTTACCAACTCCATTAAATACCGATTGCTGTTGGCTGCTTCTTTGCCTCCTTTCAGAAGAAGACCATTGGCGCTAGACATCGCCAATGCCGCAACCTGAGGTAGACTGTCGGGCCTTGATTCGAAGATCACTAGCAACACGCCGATAGGGACAGTGATTTGTTTCAGTTCGAGACCTTCAGCCAGTTTTGTTCTCCTGAGTACACGACCAACGTTCGTTAAGGAGTCGTTGGCGATCTGCCGCAAACCAGAGCTCAGAGACTTCAATTTGGCAGGCGTCAAGGAAAGTCGAGAGAGCAAAGCTTTCGCCAAGCCACTCTTCTCCGCAGCTTCGAGGTCTTTCATGTTAGCGCTCAGAATTTCCGTCTGACGAGATTCCAGAAGATCAGCTAACGTATTGATACAGCCTGCTCGTTCTTCTGGTTGAAGGGCTTGCAGAGTTCGGCTTCCAACTCGAGCTGTAAATTATCATTTTTGAATTTCAAACAGATCTTTTTTCCCCTACTTGGCGTTAATATCGTACATCTAACGTTTACACAGAAACTGTGTCTTAAATGTGTCTGACAGTCTGATCTATGGATAAAGTTTGGCATCGTAAAGTATATACTTGACACAGTTCGATAATTTTCTTTTTAAAGATTCTGAATTTTTTATTTTCTGAGATGAGATTTTATAGATACTTTTTTTTATATCGCGCTAATTGGGCTTTACCTTCTCTCTCTCTCTAAAACGCAGCGTTAGAAAAGAAAAGGGAAAAAAGTACATAGTTATGTTTGTTGAATGGGCAAAATTGATTATCCTTGAAAGAAATACAAGGTTCGTAACGCGTTGGCTATTCACAGTCGAACGGTCGAATCGCAAAGAATATATTAAATAAGTTTTAATGGAACCCGACGCTAGTAACGAGAATAGAAGGTATTTTCCCCCGAAGAAGCTCTTTAGTTAAAAGAATATTTAACTACTTTTCTTTTCACTTACTTTTTCAATGGCCGACCATGTTAACTGAAAGTTACTGCGATATTTTTCTATATCTTAGAGAGAGGAGCGCGATACGTGTCGCGGGTAATTGTACAATGGCCACGATACAGCAGCCGTAAGCCGTTTCATTTCTACCTTCGATAATCGATGACCTATATTGCTATGGTCGGTAGAACAAAATGACGCTATTGACCTATCCCTACAAAAAAAAAAATTATCTCTCTCGTGTACAAACTAATCTTTCTTGAACAATTTCTGCTCTAATTGGTAAAAGGAAAAGGAAAGGAGGGAAAGAAAAAGATGTTCTTTCATTCAATTCGCCTGAAGGGTTAAACTAGTGTTGAAACTATTCAAGCAAATTCGAAAGCAATGTTTGCGAGAGATTTCCTAAGCAGCCAAAAGCTATGTACTTATTCCTTTTACTCCATAAAGCACTCGAAAGACACAAAAGTTTGCTAGAAACTAAAAAAGCTTTTACCATCTTCGGCAACAACCTCTACAGGTGTGGAAGTTTCGGTTGTCTGTGTGAAGAATGTGCCGATCTTTCTTCCGGACAGAATATTCTTTATAGCCTTTTCTTGAGTTCCGTTACAGATCACTACGGAGACACCTCGATCCAAGGCCCAAAGCGCCGCATTAACTTTCGCGTCCATGCCGCCGGTACCGACCTTCGACTTCTGTCCGAACTTGATGGTATCCCTAAGGTCCATACTAAATGTATGCAACATCTTAGCACCGTCCTGCCACGGGGGCAAGTTGTAAATGCCGTCGACGTCGCTCATTAAGATTAATAAGTCTGCCTGAATCTCAGCGGCCAGCATAGCGGCCAAAGAATCGTTGTCTTTGATCGGAATGCCTCTACCAGTTATTTCCTCGTCAACGCTTAGCGGAGGTGAGACAGCGTCGTTGGTATTGATTATGGGAACGATGTTCAAACTAAGTAATTCGGTCAGCGTGCTGAACAAGTTCTTACGAGTCTCCTCGTTGTAGAAATCTGGCTTGGTGACTAATACTTGGGCCAGTTTTACACCATATTGTGCGAACATAGCGTCATACAGAGACATCAGCCCTGACTGACCCACTGCGGCTGCTGCCCTAGGTTCTAAAGGAGTGCCTGTGTAAATATTACATCGAAATTAGTGTATCACCCTGTATCGTTGGACCATTAAATTGGACGTACGATCGGTAAGTCGAGTGTGATACAATAAGCGGTATAATTAGGTGAATAGTTTTTTGCGGCTATCTGAAGTTTGTCTAAAAACAGTTGAGTTTACAGATGTAAAGGAAATTTTTTTCTGTTTGGAAATTCATACTGCAGAGTAGATAAATAATAAGAGTTACTTGTTTTTAGAGAATTTTCACGGTTCATTGTTTTTGGACTGTCGTGCTATTATGAATTTAAAGTATAATAGGCAAAGTTAAGTGTTGGATAAATAATGGAGAAAATACGAGTCAACATCTTGATAATTTGTGATGCTTTCACAATTCTATGTTAACGTGCTTTACTTGCCAAAGCGTGTTAGAACTGCCAGAAAAAGTGGACGACCATTGGACTCTGCTCAAACGTTTCCGTGGGAGTAATAAGAAACAAGGCGGCGCTATTTTCTCAGCAATTTCTGTCTATCGCGTTCGATCGCTGCTTCTCTCGAAAGGAGGAATTACCGCGAATGTTTTCCCGAGCAAATAGAATCTCGAAGGAATTGCCAGTAAAAGAATTGGGCGGCTCGCGGTTGTTAGTTTAACCTAGATAAAAGGACCGGACATTGTCAAGTTGCCGAGGAGCCTCTGGATATCCGGAAGTACCTCGGGGACGTTCCGATGCGTCTCTGTTGTCGACGGTCTACCGTTCGTTACGAAATTTACGAGCCTTGGTATCGATTTCTTTCACACGGCCACTACGGTGAGTGTCCACGAAAAAAATAATGTCTCTGCCACGCCGTTAACGTAAGCAAACGACAATGTTCCTTGCTAATGAACATTGCAAAGAAGTTGTTTGTTTTTTAGAGAAAAAGAGGAAATAAGATCGTTCCGGAGTAATGTAATTTAGTCACCTTTTCTTCCATCTAGGAAATTCTTTCGTACGATAATCACACTATTCGCTTCAAATGAACTTTTTTTGAACACTTCCCGGATTTATTGTATGTTGTCGTACGATTACGTAGACATACATGAATATTATGCATACGTGCATTTTTCTTTTTTGGATTTCTTAATTGGATCGTTCGGAGAGACGTATCTTACTAAGCAAACAGATTGTACTCAGAGATGAAGGTTTATATTCCGAGCACTTTAGTCGTCATAAATCGCCGGTATTATTCGGTCGCTCGATCCATCATAAATGATTAAAACACGAGAGAATACTATTCTCCTCGCGTTTCGTGTGACCATCGGCAACTCGTGTAATTACGATTAATTAATAGAGGACGAATTAAGATCGGGGATGATGAACTCGCGAGAGATACTGGCAAAAAAATACGACTTACGGTAAATCCGAATACATTTTCACAATATTCGGAACTCATTAGCGCGCGAGATATAAAGGAGACGGATTACAAGTGGAATGAGTATAATCGCGTACATTCTAATTTGTAGCTGATAACATTTTGGAAGGAAATTCACGTTGAAACGGTCGATCTCGGATCGAATTACTGTCGGATATCCGATTCGTGGTACAATATTATCATCGAGCAGAATACGTTGTCCTGTATTGTAATGCGAGTCGTGCGTGAAGTTCGATTCTACGCTGTTCTACAATGAAATGCAATGGATGAATTCAACGATTGAACAAAGTTTAATATCTGTTTAATGTCGCTCGAGAAACATCCAATTGAGTCCGTTACATGGAAATAATTATTGGGGAAAAGCACCTTGGACACATTAATCAGTATATTAGTATTATGTACAAAGAAAGATATATGTGACCGTGTTTTACATTCACGCGCAATTCTCCACGTACCTCGATATTTTATTTTAAAAACAAATACGTGTGTCTGTGTGTGTGTGTGTGTGTGTGTGTGTGTGTGTGTACAAAAGAGATTTGTCAAAATTTACGTAGAAAAGTTTGTCTTAGAAAACAAATTTTTTTTTTCTTTCGAATATGATCACATACGTATTTACGAGTGAGAAGAAACCGACGTACGGATGTAAAATCATACCTGAGCGTTTTCTCATATGACCACCTGGACTCAGCGTTTCCCTCATCGATAAGGACATCAACAGTTCTTGGGCGAGCTTCTGTTTACCAAATGCTACCGCTCCGCTAGTTACCATAATACATTCACGACCTCCGTTTTGGCATTCGGCTACTTGTTCGACTATGGATGCTAAACGACCCAGTGCTAATCCATGTTCGTCTTCCCTCGTGATGACGGCGCTGCCCAGTTTCACCACTAAACGTCTTGTATACGACAGCTGGCTGCGCTCGTTGAACATCGTTGCCTTACGAGGTCCCTCTGTCGTCTGCAATTCTCTGTGTAAGTCTACTCGATATCCCTTACAAAATTAATTAATGGTTATTCAGCTTTTTCAATCGTGAAATCTCGCTTGTTTCGGTTGTGGCTGTTTCAATTTGATTACGCGCGGCGTTGTGTCTCAGGGGAGGTTTTAAACCGTTTTTCTGCATCCGCTCTTTTCGAAACGTACGATGTCGAACGTGCATCGTAAGACGCGTTCAATCCATCAAGGACAGCCATTAAAATCTAAAGCAGGGATCTTTCCATTTGCAAATGAAAAGCCTCGAACGATTTCTATGCTTTTCCCCGCGTTCGCAGCGGTCGAAATATTTCGCTTTACATTTTTGTACGCGGGAGCAGGTTGATTTGCATGTTTCATCTAATTCGCATGAAGCGAATTTCATTCGCTTTCCCTTTGTCTACGCGCAACGATGGTCTACGTAATTACGAAATCTACGTAAATCGAAATTTACGTAATTATATAAATGATCTCGACGATCCTCTCCTTTCTTCAAACTGCTCGCGTAATCTACGATCGCGTGTGTTTACGGTCGTTCAAGTTCTCGGATGTTATCTTTGTGTGCAACACTTCAATCGAGGACGAAAAACCCCCGGCTGCCAATTTCTATCCGATTACCACTCGACATACTTTCATGCGTACACGTGTAACCTTTTCCCACACCGATCTACTTGTTACATGTAATTATAGTTCTGTTTACGTGTGCGCTCCAGCGAATTAAATGTTAAAGGAATTTTCGCGGATGTTCAGAGAATGCTCAAGCTACGACCGAAAGAGAGAAAATATGAAAAAAAAGAAGAGAAAGAAGATTTGTGGAAATATGTGAAATGGAACTGCATCAGATGAATTACTCGTTCGAAGAGTTTAAAACAATTTTCTCAGTTGGAGATTGCAATCCGTGTTTTGTGCATTTTATTTTTTTTCATCGAATCGTCGTTTCACTTTTAATTCTATTCTTATTTGAATATCTAAATTCCCCGAGACCGCGAATTCCTCCCCCCTCCCCCCGAAGAAATCGTTTTTCAATCGACGTATTGTCGACTCCCGATTCGTTCTAACGCAGATTCTGTTGGTCTCGCAAAGCCAAAAATTGCCGATCGTGCGTGATAAATCGCATCCCGTGCTCTCTTATCTTCGTCTCTCAAGACGCAGTTTGTTTTCAGCTATCAAATCAATTCTCAATTGTAACGTTGAGCGTGATTCTGCGCGACATAATAATACTATCGTATCCCTTCATTCATTGCATTCTATGTGCATATATAATAACGTGCGTGCGACGAAGGATAAAACGAAAAATTTTTACGACTGAGGCGACAGCTACTAATTGTTCTAGCACAATAAGTTAAAACGTTCTTAAACGTCAACTACTTTAGAAATAATGGCTGTTCTCTGCATTCCGGTCACAAAACAGTCAATGACTCTAGCCTTTTGACGAGAGCTCTCACTCCACCCTAATTTACAACACTCTCAAGCTTTTTTTTTTTCGAAACCTGTAGGGACTTTTTTCCTCAACAGAAACCGGAACAACCGGTTTCATGCGCTCGGACCTTTACGTTCCCTTTCAAATATCTTTATAGACTTTGACGAACGTATTATCTTCTTCAACTTGTTGATTCAGATCGATTCCCATCGCTTCCGAATTACAGAAAAACGTGCACGCTATCCGAATTATCGACGTTCATTTCTTGCTGCTCGTATCATGGCCCGGATCGTGATTCAGTGGCAATTGATAAAACGCGATTCTTATCGTGCACGCACGAGTGCTCGCTAGAGGAGGAAAGGCCGATTTTCTTCTGGAAAATTTATTTCGAATGCTCTTATTTATCTTCACTGTCTTCGAGAAGTAAAGTAGTGGGTATACATGATAATCGCTTCATTGATTGATCGTATCGGCGATAGATTGGTCAACAACGATGATCTATCATTTTTTTCATATAGCCTGGTTGAAATTTTGATGGATCGCGATTCTTTTGTACATTTGAATACGCAAGTGAAACAGGAAAAGCGGAATGTTTGGACTCACATAACGACTGCAAATGTGAACGATATATGTATTTATAATTCGGTGATTGCGTGGCATGCATGTGTATCGAAGATATCATTCGTATTATGTATTCGTGATAACGTAGCCCGTTACATTTATGTATGTAGCACAGCCAATTAAATTGGCGATCTTTGAAATTGAACGATGCATTCGCTGTTTAAAAGCTCGTGAATGGGTTTCGTTGCTGTTTGTTGTTAGAAAATTATTGAAATGCGGTTGTTACGATGTGTACGATGCTACATAGCGTCTATGCGTCATTATTTATGGTCGTATTTCGATCCTACGTGCGATGAATAATCTCGTCGTGAAAATCATTACCGAGTGACATAACGCAGTGGAAAATTTTGACACGAGATGGTAATCCCTCAGCGAGAAAATTACACGTAAAATTGAAAGGACAAATTTTTGAAGCTACACTCGTTTATGAGAGTATAATATTTGAACATTTACTATAGAAAATTTTTATGTCCATATTTTGTACGCATTGCGCACGAAACATTTTGAAATTTCACGCACACTATAACGAGACACGATTATTTTAGTTAGAATGAGAAATTTTGAAATCGACCTATTAATATGCAATGAATAATAACTAACTGTTTGTGAATATTTTTGCTCAATGATTTTTAACTTGTAGTTCCAGACTTTTTTAATATAATCGTGTGATGGTGTTAATATATAAGTATTAAATTGTTTCGCACAACATGCATGATATATTGATAACGAATATCCACTATCAATCTACAAGTGTTTGAATACTTTATGCCAATCCATATATGCGTATCTTTTCTTATCGTGTCGATCACACGAGCGTTGCACGTGTCCCTTTCCCATTTTCTACAGCTTTCTCCGCCAAGATTTCAAGGAACAATTCCTGACGCGCACGCGAGGGAACATCGTATCGATTGTTTTATTAATTACAGCAGCTGACGAGCACGAAACCTTTCCTCGGGTGGCAACGTTCGATTAAAAACATGGACGGTCGCGCGCGTTAAAAATCAGCGGCCGTAGGAGTTGATCAATCGTTTTGGCTCGTCCGAAGTCGAATCGATCGATCTCGGTCGGTTCGCAGTTGGAAAGAAATGAAAGGTGAAAATAAGAAAAAATTGCACGTACTGCTTGTTCGGGCACCCTCGGCCCCGAAGAGGACGAAGCCAATCTCCTTGGAAAACATCCAAGTTTACTGGATCTCAGTGGTAACAACCTCGCGTACATGGTTGCCTCTTCAACTTCTCTCCCTCTTTTCCTCACGTTCTCACCAGCGCGACACTATTACGATTTTCCCAATCGAAGGAACGTCACCCGATGGCGTCGTGAGTCGTTTCCCCGACGAAGAGAAGAAAGGTTGCCCGAACGATGAGAGAGAAAGAGGAGCGGAGAAGAAGCGTTGGATTCGAGTCGAGTATTAATCGAAAGATCGGCTGCCTTAGAACGGCAGATCTGATATAATCTGCGAAGGGGAAGAGGAATTCTTTCGGCGAATTTCACTCCGGTGGATCTCTTGAAAAGGGAAAGCGGATGACGATGAGGAAAGGAAATGAAGAAGAAGAGGACTAGATTTGAGCATGGACCTCGGTGGCGAGGCGGAGCGGTCGCCGTAATGGTCAACGACACACTACTGCTCGCTGCTCTTGGAAATCGCGGCAGAAAACGACGTCGACGTTATCGCGAGCGTAGATTAGAAGCCTATCCTCGTTAAGTACAAAAATGTGACGCGATGGTTTGGTGGGAGGCCGGGAATTTCTCTTCTGCGGAGAACTTGACGCCTCAAACAATGCGCCGAGCCACATCGTTGTACAGATGTCGTTACAGAAAACTACGGTATGACGGTGGTGGCGAGTCAAGGCCACGCAAAGTCCGTCTCTTTGTACGCCCTTTGTGGAACGAATTCGCATGGAAATGTGGAAACGTTCGTACGTACGTAAATAGTGCAGTGGCATACTGGCAGCGTGAGCCGGCGAACTTTGACCTGATAATCGAGCAAACAGAATCGCTATCTAACTTGCGCGTTTGACTCATTCTTTTCAACTGTCGTCGGCGTCGTTACTACATACCGATGTGTATGCGCGTGCGATAGATTCGTGTACGATAATTCCACTGCGTGTACGTACATTCGGCGATTCGCGGTTCGTACGTGTATGTGTGTACGCGCAAACGAGAAAGACCGATTGCGAGTTCGGCGTTTGCGTTTGTTTTTGTAACGCACGTACGTTTTGTAAATAGCCTATTTGCATTGGCTATTTGATAGGAACTCGCGGCTGGTCGGAGGACGCGCTATCAGCATACTGAGAGATCACGTCCACTATACAGGGGGAATCGCAGTTTCCTTTTGAAATAGATGACGCACTTTCATCCGAAATGAAATATGGTGGTTGAAGCGTTAAAAAGCGCGCAGCTACGAATATGAAAAGCTAGCGCCGCGGCGTTAACTCGACCTGTCCCTTCGATCATGCTATGCTATACGTCTTCGCGCGTATACCCGCGTTACGTGAACGCGGAGAGACGAACCGCGCGTTCGATAAGGAGATATTTTTCAAGTGCTCTCTTCACGGTATCGTCAGATAGTGGATGAAATGTCAAGTCAGTCGTTTTCAGAAAAAAAAAGAAAAAAAAAACGCGGACTGAAATACGAACGAAAAAATATGACGCTGGCTGTCTGCCCTCTTTTGCCTTTCGATGCGCGTGAAACCTGCTGCTGCATTCGTCTCGATGACAGAAGAAAGATATCAGTTTGATGGCGCATGGATGAGGATACGGGACAACGTAATTATAAGAATCGTATCAGAAATGCGAGTCACGGTTTCGCATGAAAGGACATGAAATATTCCGTGACTGTGTACGCGAAGGTATACGCGGTCGGTTCAGGTCCAGAATGTAATTAAAATTCGTGCAAACAGCGTGGAACGCTAGCTGGAAGGCAATGGTACCTGCTGAATTTCTAGCTATGTTCGTAATCCAACTTGATCGCTGTCTGTAACCTGCCGAACAGACCTGCGAGAGCGAGTGAAAAAAGTAAACGGTTGATCTCCCCGAAAAAGCTTTCGCTCCTCTCCCTTCCAAAAGAATACAGATCCACAGAGATCAAGGTTCATTTCATTTGTTCCGATACCGTTGTCTATTCTCTTTTCGTTTTCTTCTCTCTTTTCTTTTTTTATCCTCACGATTGAAGCTTCGATTTTTATCCATAAAGCTGATAAGAAAATGTTACCACGAGAAATAAAAGATTCATCAGAGTTTTCGGATCCTGGTATTTTGCGGATCCTCTCTATCTCGCATTTTCGTTCGTCGCAGAACGATTCTAGATTTCTAGATTTCGTGCGATGGTTTATCGATATTCGCCACGAACTTTCAAAGTTGCCGTGGAACACGAAGCTTCCCCTTCGAAAATAAGTTTCATCCGATGTCTGAGACACGATCGTGGAATAGTGTTATTCGTTGGCAACCGTGGCGCGGAATCCTTTCACGGAGCGCGTGGTTCTGAAAGATTCTCCGGACGGCGGATGAAGTGGGGTTGCGAGCTACAGAAAAGGGGGGCGAGAATGGAAGATGAGGCACGTCGTCGGGTGCCGTCGCACTATCAACGAATATATCTCTTTACGATTTGTCGATATAGTTAAAGTTTACTTTCCGCGCTAGTAGAGATTCTGCGTGCATGTACTTTTCCACTGTTGCAAACAATTTCCGACCGAATGGCGCCTCGGATGTACTTTTTTCGCGCGTCTCCTCTATTTCTTTAAATACTTTCACATCTCCCTCATTTGCACGTGTGCTTTCAATATTAATGCAGCTCAAGTTCAAAGCGTCCGGCACATTGAATATTCATCAGGCTGCTCGCTCCGAACGTTAATTCGATCGATGTAATTCTTGTGTACATAATATTAAAACGGAAAAACGTCGTTACAGAGTCAATTTATCCACAGCGATGCGGATAAATTTAATCATCGATTTCAATTGTCACTGAACGAGAGTTAATTTCGATAAAAGTTGCAAAACCGAAATGGAATGCAAAGAGCTAAAGGATCGCGCGTCTATATGCGAAACATGCGTTTTCGCATTTAATCCTGAAACGATGAAATCATGGTGTGGTTCGACTCGTTCGCTCGTAAGGATTGTCACCGATCCTAAATCACGTTGCAGCGCAATATCGGTCGATACGTAGCATACGATGTGTGGTTGTTTATCATTCTCATTGTCAAATTCATTGTTCCTCGTAGATTCGTCATTTCGATCGACTCTCGATGAATTGCACGTATCGTATTGCTCAAAATTCAGCGAGATGTATCCGTGTCTTCGAGAAGGAACAAAAAAAAAAAAAACAAATCAATGAATCAAACGAAAATCAAAAAGATGGAAAAATGAATTTAACTGAACTATCTCTGCTGGCAATCTAACGATAAATCAGCTATGTAAGCCATGTTTCTGTAAACAATGTGGCACGCGTGCAGCGTGTGATTGTAATTGCTGATAAAAGTAATTACCTAATGTTATCCGTCGTTACGTTCTCTCTCCCGTCAGACGCTCGATTTAGATGAAGAAACGACGTACATGTACGAAAGGAATTCTCTATTCTTTGCTGAAAGATAGGTTGTCAAAGGTAGTTTCTCCCTTCCGTTTGGAAGATCAAAGTTTAATATAGACGAGACGGTTGAAGTGGAATTGGAAAATGGTTGACGTTTTTAGGAAAAAGTTCTTGTCACGTAAAGACAGATGACAGACGGGAAGAAGAATCGAAAGACCCCTTTATTCCCTCTCCCCTATGATTTGTATCGTGCCTGAAATATTACACCGAAAGTTGCGTTCGACAACGTGTGAGGCGAGAGAGCGCTAGATCGAATCGCCGGATCGTTGGAGAATCACGAGAAAGGAAGCGAGCAATTGCGAAAATACGCAACCGTCAGAAGCACCCCATCGTGCTTTATGTTCGATTATAACGCCCGGTAACGCGAGTACAGGGTAGACGA